TTTACTGATAAGAGGTGACCCCCTGCCCCTGTCTGTTATTCTTTCAAAAACAGAGAAAACCAGATGTGTCCTATCCCATGACTGTCAGTCCAGTTGTCCCCCACACTTAACTTAAAAGTTAACCCATTCACAACATCTATTATGATTCTAGCAGTATACAAAAAGTGTATATTCTAACACTTCCATCTTGTCAACGTTTAGCTGAAGGAAATTTGCGCTCATCCAGCCTTGATGTCTGACAGGCAGAACATCAGGGGACTGGGGGTCGCAAAGTGAGGTGGAAAAATTGTTGGGTGTCATCCGCATACATGTGTAAGTGTACCCCATGTCTGCGGTTGACATCCCCAAGAGGGAGCATGTAGATCAGAAAGAGGAGGGGGCCAAGGATGGATCCTTGGGGTACCCGCAGGGAACCGGGTGAGAGTGGGAGGAGAAGCCATTTGTGTAGATGTACTGCTGGCGGTTTGTGAGGTAGGACCAGGTGAGTGCAGTCTCACTGCGGTGGATGATGGAGAAAAGGCAGTGGAAGAGGATAGCGTGATCGACTGTGTCGAACGCAACGGAAAGGTCCAGGAGGACAAGGAGGCAGAGGGAGCCCTGGTCACAGATAGAGCGGATGTCGTTTGTGATTTTCACATGTGTACTGTACTGTGGGTGGAAACCGGACTGGAGGGGTTCGAAGAGGGAATGGGAGGAGAGGTGTCGTGGAGTTGATTGACAACAATGTGTTCTAGGACTTTGGCGAGGAAGGGCAGGTTTGAAATGGGGCGGTAGTGGCTAGGGTTTGAGGGATCTAGGGAAGGTTTTTTGAGGCGGGGGGTGATGACAGCAGTTTTGAAGGGGGCAGGAACTGATCCAGAGGAGAGGGATTGATGACATCAGCCAGTAGTGGGCAGAGGAGGGGGAGCTGGGTGACCAGCAAGTTAGTGGGGAGGGGATCGAGGCAGCAGGTGGTGGGTTTCATTGAGGTGATGGTGGGTGAGAGGGAGGAAGGAGAGATGGGGAGGAAGGAATGTAGGATGGGGGTCATGGTCGGAGCTAATGATGGGGAGGGTGAGGGTGACGAAGAGGTGGTGGGTGACAAGAGGTAGGCGGATGAGGCTGCCTGGCAGATGTAATGTATTTTGGATGTAAAGAAGTCCATGACCTCCTCGCCCTTGGCATTAGATGTAAAGATTGTGGAGGCCTAAGGGGGGGGCACGGAGTAGGTGGTGGAAAAAAGGATTTTAGGATTCTTTTTAGCCTCCAAGATGATGTTGGAATAGAAGGCCGTTTACTCCCTTTTTTTTCTTGACGGATGCTGCCTGACCTGCTGAGGGTTCCCAGCGACTTCTGTTTTTGTTTAAGATTTCCAGCATCTACAGTTTTTTGCATTTTGTTTATATTTAATTCATTGCCTCTACTCTTCTAGGATTGCCTACATTGAAGAAGTTTTGCTCTTCTCTCCTTTTTTTGCTATCTATATCCCTTCTTGTGTTTGATGAGTTCACTAAAACCCGTCTTCTCAGCCACATCTCTTTCCTCAGTAAGTGTCTTAAACTGCAACTAATTCCATATGGATTCCATTTTAAGTTCCATCCTTTCTGCTTTGAATTCACCCACAATCACAGATACTTCCATGAAATTCTGCGCTTTTCTGATCACTGCTTTCTCCACCTCATGAGATCCACTGTCTCCAGCGTGCACCAACACCTTTCCCTTCAGGAACGTTGACACACTATATCTCAGAACTGTCTTCATCCTGAACTATGTTTCATCCTTCGCCTCATTCGGCACTTCAACAAAAAACTGTTTTCCTTTCTTTTAGATGGCAAGGATCACAAACTTCAACAACTCGTGGACGCCAACTCCTCTCCTGACCCCTCATCCCTTTTGCCTACCTCTGACCCCATGCTTCTCCCAATCCTACTTCTTGCCATATCTTCATTATCCCTTCTGACCTCCCACTCTCTGATCCTGAATGATCCATCCTCAGTAAAGGCCTGAACTTCATCCCCGTATGCCCCCACCTCAATGCATTTCGATCCCAGCATGATGCTGCACTCTTCTTCCACTGCCTTTGCCTCCTCGCCCGCTTTTTTGGCCAGTAGGCCCCCACCCACACAACAGACCTCTTCTCCTATCTCCTATTCCACTTGGACCCTGCCCCCAGCACCCCTAATCTCCATTGAGAACTGCCGACGTGACATCGGCTGTGTCCGTTTCTCCACTCCCCTCTCCCACTCAATTCTTTCTCCTTCTGAATGTACTGCACTCCACTCTCTCAGGACCAATCCTGACATCATTGTCAAACCCACTGACAAGTGAGGTGCTGTCGTCATCTGGCAAAAGCACTTCTACCTGGCAGAGGCTGAACGCCAACTCTCTGACAACTCCTCCTACCTCCCCCTGGACTATGACCCCACAAGTGACACCAAGCCATCATCACCGAGACAGTCATCTCCTCTGGGGAGCTTTGTCCAGCAGCCTCTAACCTCATAGCCCTCCAGTCCACACAGTCTGCCTCTACCACCTCCCCAAGATCCACAAAGGACTGTCCCGGGAGACCAAATGTTTCAGCCTGTTCCACCACCAAATGTTCCACCACCAAATGTTCAGCCTCTTCCTCCCCACCAAACTGATCTCCTCATATCTGGACCCCATTTTTGCTCCTCTTGTCCAGGCCCTATTAACCTTCATCCATGACTCTTCTGACACCCTCTGCCACTTCAATAATTTCCTGTTTCCTGGCCCTGACCACCTCCTATTTACAATGGATTCAATCTCTCTACATACCTCCATCCCCCACAAAGATGGCCTGCAAGCCCTCTGCTTCCAACTCGAACAGTGACCTAACCAGTCTCCATTCACCACTCTCCTCCGCCTGGCTGAACTTCTTCTGACATTGAACAATTTCAGCTTCAACTCCATCCACTTCCTCCAAGTAAAAGGTGCCGCTTTGGGAACCCACATAGATCCCAGCTACGCCTGCCTGTTTGTTGGCCACCTAGAATACATTTTGTTCCGGGCCTACTACACCCTGACCTGTTCCTCAGAAATATTGACAACTGTGTTGGGGCTGCTTCTTGCTCTTGCAGTGAGCTAGAAAAATTCACCAATTTTGTTTCCACCTTCCACTCCTCTGTAACATTCACATGGCCTAACCTCAACTCGTTCCTTCCCTGGAATGCATTGCCTGATAGAGTAATGGAAGCCGATTCCACAACAACTTTTAAGAGAGTAGATAATTATTTGGGGTTTGCAGGGCTATGGGTGGAGAGCGGGGAGTAGGATTGATTTGGATAGCTCTTTTCAAAGATCAAGCACAGGCATGATGGATACGAATGGCCTCCTCCTATGCTGCATAATTCTATGATTCCTCAACTTCACAATTTTGATCAGGGCATAGATTATCTACAGATATCTTTTACAAGCCCACCAACTCCCACAGATACCTACTACACCTCCTCCCACCGCGCCTCCTGTAAAGACTCCATTCTGTTTTCCCAGTTCCTCGGCCTAAGCCACATCTGTTCTGACAATGCCAGCTTTCACACCAGAGCAACTGAAATGCTCTCCTTTCTCTTTAAACGAAGATTCCCATTCACTGTAGAAGGCAGGGCCCTTGACTGCTTCTACCCTATTTCCCGCACCTGTGCCCTCACCACATCCCCCTCCTCCCAGAACCGTGATAGGATCCCCCTAATCCTCAACTTCCACCCCACCAGCCACAACACTCAACAAATAATTCTCTGCCTTTTCTACCGCCTGCATGATCCAACCACCAAACATATCTTTCCCTCCTTTCCCCTCTCGGGATCGTTCCCCCCACAACTCCCTGGTTCATTCCTCCATCACTACCAACAGTTGCTCTCCTCCACCGACACCTTCCTATGTCAGCACAGGAGATGCAATACCTGTTCTTTGACCTCCTCCCAGACCACTGTCCAGGGCCCCAAACACAGTTTTCAAGTGAGACAGCGATTCACGTGCACTACCATCAATGTAGTTTACTGCATTTACTGCTCACGATGTGGTCTCCTCTACATTGGAGAAAAATGTCCGATTTGGCAAACACCTCCTCTGTCTGCAAGCATAACCCTGAGCTTCCAGTTTATTGCCACTTCAACTCTCCCTCCCAACTCACACTCTGACCTCTCCATCTGTGGTCTCCTATTCTGTTCCAATGAACCACAGCTCAAGCTCGAGGAATAGCATCGCATCTATCTGCTGGGGCTTTACAGGCCTCGGGCTTCAATATTGATTGCAATAATTTCAGACCACAAGGGGTCACCTTTCCGCTCCCCCTCTTGTGTAACCATTACATAAGAACATAAGAGCATAAGAATTAGGAGCAGTAGGCCATTCGGCCCCTCTAGCCTGCCCCACCATGGTTGATCTACCTGACTTATCCCCATATCCCTAAATCTCTTAATTACTACATAATCTGGGACACAGACACCTCATTTCCCTTGTTTTGTTGCAATTCCGCTTCTGTTTTGTATCATTAACATCTGTTTAACACATTGGCTACAAATATACAGTCAATTTACTTTACAGTCTATTTTGTGAAGTGCTTTGAGACTTCTAGAAGTTGAGAAAAGCACTGTATCAAATGCAAGTATTATTATTATAATAACATGCCCCAGTTCTGACAACGGATCCTGGACCCAAAACGTTGACTCCATTCCCTTTCTCCATAGATCCTGACCTGACCTGCAGAGTGTTCTCGGCAGCTTTTGTTTGTGTAGGAGGTGCTGTCTTCCTCCTCCTCGTCAGATAATCGAGTACAAAACCCTTGTTTTGTCTAAGAAATGATTACCCCGGAAAGACCCAATCAACTGATCGGACTCCTGCACACTGCTCGGCAAAGAGGTGCAGTAAACAAACGTGTACAGCGTTTTGCCGTCACGAATCGAACCGGAGTCCTATCGCTCGCTCTGACCACAAAGCGACACAGGACTCACTCTCACTAAATGTCATTTTGTAAAAGGCTAAAACGACCTGAAATGTGAACTGAACCGCGGTCTCCCCCGCGACAGGCGGGAGGGAGGAATGAGGATTCGCACAGTCAGGGGCTTTAACCCCACCACCGACACGGGCCAACGGTCCCGGTACCGACTGTTTATATCTGTTTCCTGCTCTCCTGTGACAGACACTCTGCTCTCCCCTGAAGCACTCGGTAGGTGCAGCTCGTTTGGGAGGGAATGGGTGGCTCTGAGAAGAGCCTTTGGGGTTAATATCAGCAGAGGGGAGAAGTTACTTCTTTTTGGCTGGTGTTTTCTTAGCCGCCGGCGCTTTGCGGAAAGGTTTGGCGGTTTTGCCGCTTGGTCTCTTCGGGGCTGAGGGCTTCTTTACCGCTTTCTTCACGGGCTTTTTGGCCGATTTGGGCTTCTTACTCACGGCAGCTTTCGGGGGCTTCTTGGCAGCGGGAGACTTGGCTTTGATGACTCTCTTGGGCACAGATGGTTTCTTGCGTGAACTTGGCTCTTTCGCTGTAAGTTTCTTCCGTGGAGAAGCTTTCTTGGCGGCCGCTGCCTTCTTCCCCCGCGGGGTCGGCTTCTTTGCCGCGTTGTCCTTGTTGAGTTTGAAGGAGCCGGTGGCGCCGACGCCCGTGGTCTGGATCAGGATACCACTGTCTGTCAGTCTCTTCAGAGAAGCCCTGACCTGGTGTTTGTGAGTTTCCGGCTTGTAGCCTTTGGCGTCCAGAGTCTTCTTGATGGCGACCACGGACAAGCCCCTGCGATGCTCAGCGCTCGCCACCATCTGCTTGATCTCCTCCATCAGGTTGAAGCCGGGTTTCTGCTTCGGGGCAACGCGCTTCTTCTTGGCGGCTTTGGGCGAAGCGGTGGCGGCTGCAGGAGGCTGGACGGCGGCGGGAGCAGTTTCAGCCATAGTCCCTGTGAGAGGCTCAGTGTGTGGAGCTGCTCAGGATAGTGAAGCCAGGCGGCGCCACAGCCACTTACAGCCTCCGAGCGGACGCGGCAGAGTCAGCCGCTGCTCAGCTTCCGGGTTTCAAATCTCTGTGTTTCTGTCGTTTCCAAAACTGATCGTTTGTCTCTAAACTCGTTTGTGCTGAGAGTCAACAACAGCCTTTTGCTGAAGTGCACAATCCGCTCTTCACTGAGAGACACTGCACAACTGAACTAAAGGCAGCAGCTTCCAGTTACAAGCGTTTGAATGTGGGATTGCCCGCGGTTCAGCGCTGAATCCTGGACATATTGACGGCGACTTGAATGATATTCTCAAACCAAACAGAATCACAGCTTAAATTGTGGCACTGATGTCAAGCAGAGGGTCGGGGCCATCCCGTCAACAGAAAATATTCTTACTTCTGGTGCTAGGGATTTGTTAATCCCGGGATGAAGCTGGACACACTAGCACAGTGACTGCAATCTGAGTCAGACGCCTTTTTAACACAGAGCCGCTGACACTATCATTGAATCAGCGCCTTGAACTGGCAAACTATACCGCAGTCATTGAATTCTCAGGAGCGGGTTTTCCTCTGTCCATGTTATGTGCTGCAGTTTCCCGGAGTTTGTGACTGTTTGGCAGCTCAGTGAGTGACAGGAGGCTCTGAGATAGGAGCTCGCCACAGTGTCAGTGTTCTCACAGAAAGGAGAAAGGAGAAAGGATGTCACTGCTTCTGTCTGTGTGCTAAACGGTTGTTTAACGACAGAGATATAGATATCAATAAACGGCTTACATAGCGATTGAGGTTAAAGGGGAATATTCACAAGCAGATGTCAATCCTCTCCAGCTGGCTATAACGTCCCCCAGCATGTTACATGAAACAAACAGCTGCCTGGAAATAAAATGGAATCGCTTTGTGTCTGCAGTTCGACTGAGATACATCATTAAATCTCTCCGTTTCTCTGCCGAGTGATGAATCTATTTCAACACCAGCTGCGGCAGTGACTCCTTGTCCAGCCGTGTTACTGTGTGAACCATTGCAGATTCGCAGCAAATTCCAAAAGCCCGCCAATGTCACGGTAACGCCTGAATTCTCCTTTCTATCAATAGCTACAACAGTTCAATGTCCACAGGAAACGTCCGGGATCCGGGGTCCGGTCCCGTGAAGCGCTCCGAGACGCCGTCCGGCGTGGAGGTTGTTGTTGTCCAGCGCTTTGGGACGTCCTCCCGACGTGAAAGGCGCTCTATAAATGGAATGTTGTTGTTGTTGTTGTTGTTGAAATATACAGCGGTAGAATGGCAAAACACAGCATTGATCATTCGGCGAAAAATAAAAACAATCTGAGAAGGTTCCGTGCTCGAGTTTCTGGCTAAAATCTCGCACGGAGGCAGACACTGATCGTCTGAGCCTCATTTTATACCTTCAACCTCTAATATTCCATGTCTGTGCCTGTAACATACCGGGAATTCAGGAGCGTTTGGGGTTTATTTGGAGGGAAGCCACATTAATAATGAATAGTAACTCCTGGTCAGTGAGGCTGAATGGTATTTCCCGCGCACATTCTCCTGGAGAGCTGCTTTGACATCACTGATTACTGATTAATTGAATTGGGGTTCTTTTGGTTTCCGGTTTGCTTTTGCGAAATTGTTTGAACAATTGGCAATTGTGGGAAACTGCGGAAGGAGCTGAGCTGCGGCAGCTGTTGTGTGTGTGTGTGTGTGTCACTGTGACCGTCTCCTCCCCTCGGCAGCTCTGCTCTGCCTTCCTCAGCCAGGTCGGGGCGCCCTGTATAAAAGCAGCCAGAAGCTGCGTGTCCGTCATTCGACTGCTGTTGAGTGGAGGAGAGACATGTCTGGCCGAGGCAAAGGAGGCAAAGGTCTGGGGAAAGGCGGCGCTAAGCGTCACCGCAAAGTGCTCCGTGATAACATCCAGGGCATCACCAAACCAGCCATCCGCCGCCTGGCGCGGCGTGGCGGAGTCAAGCGCATCTCCGGCCTGATCTACGAGGAGACCCGCGGGGTGCTGAAGGTTTTCCTGGAGAATGTGATCAGGGATGCGGTCACCTACACGGAGCACGCCAAGCGCAAGACCGTCACCGCCATGGATGTGGTGTACGCTCTGAAACGCCAGGGCCGCACTCTGTACGGATTCGGCGGCTGAACATCTCCTCAACGTCAAGACACAAAGAACAAAGGCTCTTATAAGAGCCGCCCAAGTGCTCATATCAAAGGCTGTAACTTCCAAACGAAACTCGTCTGGCGTCAGGCGTTTGTCCTTCACTATATATAATGTGGTCGCTCCAGCGGGAGCCCGAATAAGATTGTCCACAGACAAACCACAGCTTAGTGTTTCTGTATCCAACTTGTCATGATTTCTGTTACCTGGGAGTCCTGTAGCTCAGCGGTTAGAGCACTCGCTTTGCAAGTGAGAGACCTGAGTTCAATTCCAGGCAGAGGGCGAAACCTTCGGCAAGTTTCCTTACTCCACAGAGAGCCTAATAATAATCCCTCCAAAACCAAAAACAATAATAAATTGGTCATTTTCAATCTACGACTGTTTGTGGGACATTGCTGTGCGCAATTGGCTGCCGCGTTCGCCCACAAATATACAGTCAATTCACTTTACAGTGTGTTCTGTGAACCACTTTGGAACGTCCTCCTGATGTGAAAAGCGCTCTGTCAAATGCAAGAATTATTACTATTATTATTATGATTCTCGCACAGATGACCTCAATACTCCCTGAAGGTTATGTTGCTTAGGAACTGGAGAGTTGGAAACAGCCATATATAGCAGGTTCCCATTGTTAGTGTGACCAAAACATCTTGTATCTCATGTCTTAGCTCCAGAGTAACAACAAATTAAAGGGAACATCCATGCAGAAAGCAAAGTGAGTCTATGTTTTGGGTCCACGTCCCTTCGCTCTATCAAAGGATTGTGGACTCAAAATGTTGACTCACTTTCATTTGTCCATAGATGCTGCCTGACCCGCTGAGTGTTCCTAGTGACTTCTGTTTTTGTTTCAGATTTCCAGCGTCTGCAGTATTTTGCGTTTTGAACAAATTGAAAGGAATATTCACAAGCAGATGTCAATCCTCTCCCGCTAGCTGTACAAATCTCGAGCATGTTTCATGATACTAACAGCTGCCTGAAAATAACATGGAATCTTCGTGCTGCAGATCGGCCAATTTACATTAATTCTCTGTGATTCTCACCCTCTGTTTTGCATCATTAATACCTCTTTAACCCATCATCCCCTGTCCTCTATCCCATTTTCTCCTTTGTCTTCCTTGCCATGCCTCCCACCTCTCCGTTAGTCCATGTTATCACTAAGGGTTGTGGATCCAAAACGGTGACTCACTTTCCTTTTCTCCATAGATGATGGCTGACCGGCTGAGTGTTCCCAGCAACTGCTGTTTTCGTTTCCAATCTCCAGCGTCTGTAGTATTTTGTGTTTTGTTTATATTTAGTTCACTGCCACTTCTAGGAATGCTCGCCTTGAAGACGTTTTGCTCTTCTCTTCGATATGACATTCATTCTTCCCTTTTACCCTGCTCACTTTTTTTGCTATCTGTTCCCTTCTTGTGTTTGATGATGTGTTCACTAAAATCCATTTTCACAGCCACATCTCTTTCCACAGTAACTGCCTTAAACTGCAGCTAATTCCATATGGATTCCCTCTTAAATTTAACTCTTCCTGCTTTCTACCCACGATCACAGATACCTCCATGAAATTCAGTGGTCTTCTGATCACTGCTCTCGCCACCTCATGAGATCTACTGTCTCCAGCATGCGCCGACACATGCATGCTCTCAACCTTTCCCTTCAGAAGCACCGACACACTTTATCTCAGAACTGCCCTCATCCTCATTCCTCATATCTATTTCATCATTTGCCGCATTCTGTGCTTCAACAAACAACTGCTTTTCTTTCTTTAAGATGGCAAGGATCACAAACTTCAATGACACATGGATGCCAAACCCTCCCCTGACCTCTCCTTCCCTTTAACTTCCTCTAACCCCATCAGAGGAGTCCTCTAGCTCAGTGGTTAGAACACTCACCTTGCAAGCGAGACACCTGGGTTCACTTCCAGGCAAGACAAAACATTGGGCAAGTTTCCTTACTTCACACGCCTAATAATAATCCCTCCAAAACAAAAATAAATTGGTCATTTTCAATACACAACTGTTTTCGGGACGCTGTTTTGCGCAATTGGCTGCCATGTTTCGCCCACAAATATACGGTCAATTCACTTTACAGCATATTCTGTGAAGCACTTTGAGACATCTAGAAGGTGTGAAAAGTGCTATATCAAATGCAAGGATTATTATTATTATTATTATCCCTCCCTCCAATCCCACCTCTTGCTGCATCTTCACTGTCCTCTCTGACCTCCCACTCTCTGATCCCAAATGATCTGTCCTCAGTAAAGGCCGCCACAGCTCTGGAGTGTCCGTCCTGCACCGGTGGGTGAAATTCACCATCACCAATCGAAAGGAGGGGGTGAGCTGATGACTCCTGGTGGTGATGTTTGGGGACACTCCTCTCAGGTTTATAAACATATACAGCCCAAACACCTAGCCCGGCGCAGGGATATGTTTCGGCTGCTCCCACAGGTCCTGGTAACATCCCGGCCTGTCATCCTGGGCGGGGATTTCAACTGCATCATTGAGGCAGGTGGACAATCCTATGGGGCTGACGGGGCCCTCGACAGCTCATCCAAGGCTCTCCTGAATGTGGTGAAGGCCACGCAGTTGTGCTACAATGGCAAAGCCCCTAAAGCGCAGTGCATCTTCTCTGCGCCAAAAGGATAAGTTCACTCACAAACCGGTTTTCTCTTCCTCACGAGGGCCCCGAGGTCTGGAGCCGGTGTCCTTCTCTGACCATCGCCTCCTGCTGGCTGACCTGCACTCGCGGGAAGACTGCTGGACAGGCAAGGGAATATGAAAGCTGAAGGTGAAACTGCTAACACCTGAAAATGTGGAGGTGTTGAGGAATGATTACTGAGGGTGGCAAACCTTGGGGTATTTCTACGACTCCTGTGCAGACTGGTGGGACATGGTTAATTTCTGGATTCAGCAATTCTTCACCCGCAAGAGTGTGCAGATCAGCAGAGCCAGACAGAGGGACATTTCCCGACTCGAGACCAGACTTTAGGCCCTCCTCCGGCAGCAGGCTGAGGGTAACAATGTCATAGAGGAACTCAAGGAGGTGAGGGTCAACAAGCCTTGCGCTATGCCTCTGAGGGGTCCAAAGTTATATTCTGCTTCAGAGTCTGCTCCATCGAGCAGGATGAGACGTGCTTGCACTTCTTTCAGAAAGCGAACAGAGGCAGCTCTGTGATGGCTGGGCTGAGGGAAGAGACAGGCTCTGTACACACGGCGCAGGCAGACATGCAAAGTATCACAAAATTCTATTATGCCAACCTGTACCACGAGAAGCCCAAAGAGAGCGAGGCCTCACACGACTTCCTGTGTGCTCACAGGCGCACAGGCCTCGCTATGGACTTGTAATCGAGATGAAGAAAATCTGCACTGTTTGCTCTCTGTTTTACTAAAACCAGTTCTTACCAAATACTTTGTCATATTCAAAATGCTTTTCAGACATTCGCTCTCAGAAAAATAATAAAATTAGACCATCAATAGCCTATGTGACTGAGTAACCAATGAAAATAATTCCTCTCCATCTGGTCTATGAGAAACCCTCAAACGTTTAAGGATCTTTATGCGTTGGCCGTCTGTTTCAATACAAACAGACTCAGCTCACAGAATCAACCAGAACTGGTAACAAATTTGCATTGTAAATTAAATTAACGCCAAATAAGAATAAAAGTATTCCCCTACTGTCACGCCTGCCTCAAGTAATCGCATATGTACAGAATTTCAGTCACTTGCAAATTTGTTATATTGCAAGCAGAGAAGATTTGATTCCAAGCAAAACATGACAATACTTGAAGCCATAGATATTAATGTGAAGAAACAATCATTTGTGTCCACCAGTCAGTGACAGCCATTTGTCCCTGTGAGCGTGTGTGAGTGTGTATGTGAGTGTGTGTGGGTGTGTGTGTGAGTGAGTGTGGGTGTGTGAGTGGGTGTGTGTATGTGTGTGTGTGTGAGGGTGTGAGTGAGTGTGTTTCTGTGAGTGTGTTTGTGTGAGTGTGTGTGAGTGAGTGAGAGTGAGTGTGGGTGTGTGCGTGAGTGTGGGTGTGAGTGAGTGTGTGTGCGTGAGTGTGGGTGTGAGTGAGTGTGTTTGTGTGAGTGTGGGTGTGAGGGTGGGTGAGTGTGTGAGAGTGAGTGTGGGTGTGAGTGAGTGTGTTTGTGTCAGTGAGTGTGTGTGGGTGTGTGAGTGTGTGTGTGTGAGTGAGTGTGTGAGTGTGTGGGTGTGAGTGAGTGTGTGGGTGTGAGTGAGTGTGGGTGTGAGTGTGTGGGTGTGAGTGAGTGTGTGTGTGTGTGTGAGGGTGTGGGTGTGTGTGAGTGAGTGTGTGTGTGTGTGAGCGTGTGTGTGAGTGTGTGTGTGTGTGTGAGTGTGTGGGTGAGTGTGGGTGTGTGTGTGTGAGTGTGTGTGTGAGTGTGTGTGTGTGTGTGTGTGAGTGTGTGTGTGAGTGTGTGTGTGTGTGAGTGTGTGTGTGAGTGTGTGGGTGAGTGTGGGTGTGTGTGTGTGTGTGGGTGAGTGTGTGAGTGTGTGTGTGTGTGTGTGTGTGTGAGTGTGTGGGTGAGTGTGGGTGAGTGTGTGTGTGTGTGAGTGTGTGAGTGTGTGTGGGTGAGTGTGTGTGTGTGTGAGTGTGTGGGTGAGTGTGTGGTGTGTGAGTGTGTGTGAGCGTGTGTGTGGGTGAGTGTGGGTGAGTGTGTGTGTGAGTGTGGGTGAGTGTGTGTGTGAGTGTGTGAGTGTGTGTGAGTGTGTGTGTGAGTGTGTGTGTGTGAGTGTGTGGGTGAGTGTGGGTGAGTGTGTG